TAAAAGGAACCAACTATCACAGGAAAGTGGTGGGGGTAGACGAGATTCTGACGGAGGCAACAGAGAGCCAGCATAGACCGAAGTCAAGTGAGTAGCCATAGCATCTACTGAAGCTTTAGGACCATCTTTGTGAGCATAAGTACCGGAACAATCACGTCTTCTTTTCATACGAGAGAGGGTGCCAGTGGCTTTAGAAAAGTCTTGTTCCAACTGAGCACAGAAGTTCTTCCAAGAGAGACGCTTAGCTTTAGCAACAAGACGACGAAAGTGACGATGTGCATCATGATGCAACGACCACCAGTAAGCTTTGTCAACACCAGAGGCATGACGCCACCTACTATAACAGCGATCGCGTTCTCGAGCTGCTGATTCGATATCAGGAGTCCAGTACTTCTTCCACCATTTTCCAGACCGATGTTGTCTTGCACCAACCGACCCATCCAAAGCCTCGTAGAAGCACCCATTAAGAGTAGCATTCAACTCGTCAATATCAGGGCGTTCAAGCGGTGGCGCAGAGACCAGCTGACTCAGAGTAGATTCCAGAGGAACTACAAGTGAGCGAAACTTGCTTTGGAACAGTGCCAAAGGTTCCTTTTCCCGCAAGCGAGATAGGTTCCAAAGGCGTCGTGGAGCAAGACCGTCAGAGCCAGCATGAGCCCCAGATCCCAAAGTAGAATCATAGTCGAATGACAAAGTCATCAACCGGTGATCAGACCCAAGGGAGAGATCAGATTCTACTGCGACTTGAGCGCCACGCATATTCCACGAGGAAATATTTGTAATGAACAAATCGATGATACTACTCATTTCCATACCACGTCGAAACGTTGTAAAGGTGGGCACACCACGACAAAGAGTAGTATTCAGCACAGCCAGGTCTCGTTGTTCAAGCCATGCATGCATAGCAAGACCACGCGAGTTGGTAGCGGAATCACCAGTGAGATCACCAAAGCGAGCATTAAAGTCACCACAGAGGATAGAGTCAGAGTTGAGAGGAATAGAGGAGAGAGCGGATAGCACCAGCTCATTAGAGAGACTGGGTGGAAAGTACGAACAATGCACATTGACTGCTCCCATTTTGAGTGAGAGAGTATATGCATTGAAAGACGGCAACTGGGTGACAGGAAAAGGACAGGAAGGAGAGACAAGAGCAGAGACACCACCAGAACCACGGTTGTTTGCACCAACTACCTTTGATCCATATAGATGGTATTGCGACCAATCTATAGGAAGGTAGCCGGCGGTGAGCCAAGTTTCAGTGATAAATAGAATATTTGTACAGAGAGCATGGGAAATAACATCGTGGATGGTCGTGGTTTTTAGGCCATTCGCATTCCAGATGCTAATATAGAAGGAGCGTGATGGGTGGGCGGGAGTATGGGTTGGATCCATACTCATTAAAATTCCATTTCGGAATCAGTGGCAGAATCCTCAACAGCCGTTTTGTTTCGGAAAACAAAAGCAGCTTGCTTTGGATTTTCCTTTTCCAAACGAGAACGAGCAGAAGCAAGAGCCAAAGAGAGGTCAGCATCGTCAATCCAACCCAACTCAACGAAGGAGCGACCAACAGGGCCAACAAGAAGAGGACGCAAGAAAGAGAGGGTATCCACAGCGCGGCTGTTCACCAGTGAGGCCATTTCGCTTGCTCTGTTTGCTTCGGACAAAGCAGCGAACTTGGGATCAGCAAGGTGCTTAGGATCCAAAGGATCGAAGCCACCGATCAATTCAGCACCTACCTTTTGCATGGTAGCAGTGAATTGCTCCACATACTGCACATGCATCAGGAGGCCAAGCACACCAGAAGCAGGAAAAGAGACATCAAGGATACGTCCAGTATCCACACCGGAGCGACGAAGACGAGAGCGGACTTCAGATCTATTGATCTTTCTTGAGCGTCCTAAATATACGTACGTAAAGCCCTGAGGACCTTTGGCAGCAGGGCTCACAAAGGCACGGGCAGCAGCAACTCGTTTCTTCTGCGAAACGCGGGCAGGACGGGCAGGAGGAGAGGCAGGCTTAGCAGCCTTGGCTGCCCAAGAGGAAGCATGGATGGATGAATCACCACTGCCTGGGTGTGTGGCAGTGGGAGTAGGAGGAGAAACAGAAGAGACCTGAGTGCCGCCTTGGGACATTGAAGAATTGGACTCGAGAGTCCGGATGCGAGAAAGGAGCTTGGTATTTTCTGCTTGCAGAAAAAGTTTTTCCTCCTCAAGGAGGGAAACCTTTTCTTTCAGAGCTATAAGATCTGAAAAAAGAGTTTCATGATGCTGTACCTGTTGTGCTAAGGTCAGCACAAGTTGATGCAACTGCTGGACGTCCAGGTTAGTTGCCATTTTTGACGGATGGATGACTGTTTTGGATGGATGGATGATTGTTTTGGATGGATGGATGATTGTTTTGGATGGATGGATGATTTTTTAGACGGATGCACTGACGGATGAATAGGATGCGCTCGTTTAGCTCAGTTGGTTAGAGCGTGGTGCTAATAACGCCAAGGTCACAGGTTCGACCCCTGTAATGAGCATTTTTTCCTTGTCTGTATCATATTTTTTTTTTTTAAATACAATGAGAACGGTAAATTTTGTCATTTTGAGAAAATTAAATGTCCGTAACCAAAATATAAATGTCACTTTCCAAAAAATTAATGTCACTAAGCCAAAAAATGATTGTCCCTTTATGTCTAGAAATTTTGTCCTTTCGAAATAAAAGAAATGTCACAATAAGTTAAATCAAATTGACCTTAAAAAAATTATATGTATTTTTTCACTTCAAAACATTTAGAATGGAGTTTCATTATGACACTGAATGATTTGTCGTTTAGAATGACAGGCAAAGTTGTATAGAATTTCAGCAGGTATGGTATTACATGCCTCAGCAATTCTATCAGACAATTTTTCTTCAGTCCACAGTTTGTGGCGTTTCAATTTTCCTTTTAAGATTGCCTAAAACTGTTCAATTGGGTTTAATTCAGGCAAATATGGAGGCAGATACATCAGCTTATAGCCACGACTTTTGATTTTCCTCATCATTGGTTTTGATTTATGTATAGTGCAGTTATCCATCACCAAATAACTCCCTTTTAGATCTTCATTAAGATCCAAGATATCAAGCATGTGATGTTTGGGTTGTGAATGAAGATATAATAGAAGATAGAAAGAAAACAAAGAAATACAGTGAGACTGTTCAGTACTTCTTTATTACAAAAATAAATTGATTCTAAAATATATCTTTTCCAGGTTGTCTTTTATACTACCTGATTTATTGACTAATTATGATTACTGATTATTGATTACTTAACACCTTGACAGCGTGTGCCTGGGATTTGATTATGTAAATTCTCCTTTCATTCTCCTTGTTACCTAAAAGGTACAATTATGGTTTCCTTATTTGTAAATATCCATATTATCCCAGTTACCGTTATTTACTGTCATTATACAGTGCTTACTTTATATTTATAATGTATAGTGCTATAAGTGATTATTCATTTATATGATGAAAGATTATTTATTATATTTTGTATTGAAAGTGCTCAGATCACCACAAAGCAGAACATTCATGAATTTGATAAAGTGCGCAGTTGTCGTACCTTTTGATATCGATTCTGAACTATCTTGCGCACTGCTCTCGTTATTATCATCAACATACTCTGTAGCTGGTTCTTCTATAATAAACTCATCTGTACTATTTTTTTGCCCTTTGCTACTTTTCTTTTCTTGCTTGTAGATGTCTTGTTGCTTTGAAGCTTCTCTTTTTTTGGTGGTGGCTTCTTTATCGCTACATGGATGACGCTAGATGCATGTATAGCTCCAATAATCGTATGAGATGGGGTCTTTGTTTTAGTTGTCTTCACTATGACAGGTATTCGAGTATCTGCTCTGGCCCAATTATTTCTCAAAGTTATATGAAATCCAGCTTTGTCGATAAAGTTACAGTTTTTTGTAAAGTCTACATCAGAATCTTTCCATTTCATAAACCATTCATATCTCGTCTCTAAGTTATCAGCAGAGTTTCTAGCTTCGGGCTCAAATGTAGGTTTCTTAATCGTCACAAGCATATTGTTCCTCAAGTGATAATTAAGCTGCGTTTTGGAAATAGAAAAGCCCATAAATTCTTTAGATAGCTCACCAAGAATATCTTCAGAATAAAGCTGAGGATCCTTATCAAGTAGTTCTCGAATATGTGTCTCGTGTTCAGTTGTGAAAGAGCTTGGACGGCCAACATTGTTTTTTGAAAGTTTGTACGGCACTTCATTTGTTTCCTGATAACGTTTCCACCATCTCCGGGCAGTGCGAGGCTCAACACCAAGCTCTTTTGCAAATCGAACTATTCTTCCTCTTTCTTCAACGCTTTCTAACATTCGATCTATAAACACCTCTCTTGTATTATCGCTATAATCATTATACATACTCTGCTTCAATTTTGGTTTCGTGGCGGCTTTTGGCTCTACATCATTGCTTTTCTTAACATTTCGTTCCTCAATAGATTTGCGAGCTTCTAAATATGAGCTCTGTGTGGCTATAGTTTCCAGGACAACGTTAGGGTCTGTGATTTGCGTTAGAACATCCTCCACAGGGTCAAAAACTTCTATCCCTAGATCGTTGTAAACATTCTCCTGCCCATTTTCGTAAAAAAAAGTATTTGCCATAGTTTCGAAATAAAAGTCTAAAAGAAGTTGTTTAGAATTTAAAATGAAAACAAGTACTATTTAGGTCAATTTGGATTTAACTTATGGTATTGGCTAACAGAAACTTTTAAATTATTTTAAGAGCAGTCATACTGTGATAAGGTGACAATGATCGGACGAGAGGATAAAACTTGGTCCAGGAACCTAGATTGTGGAAATGATACAATTTCACTGGTGTTACCACGAGTAAATTAGAAATTAGGAATAATTGTCAAAATAATAAAACATCCTCTCTTCCCCGTTCTTATTTGAGTGATTAGTTATAACTCCTTTGTGTTTTGAGAGTTTTAATTATAGTCAACAAAGTACGCAAGGATAGAATTTTACAAGTCAATAGGTAAATTACAATCCCGATACAACAAGTCATACAAAGTCTCGAAAAAGTAATTTACCCTGATCTGAGACCCAGCTTAATCACGAGAAATACCACTCCTTTATTTGACTAATAGAAAAGAAATATAATGTAATTTCATTTGGTTGCTGCAACGCCTACTCCTCATCTTCATTCTGATGATACTCATGAGGTATTTTCCTTTTATTAGGTCTTGTTGGCGTGAAAAAAGGTGTTATCATAGGTTTTGTTGATCGTGGTGGGCTATAGACAATTTCACAATGAGAAGTAGAAATATCCGCTGCCATATATTTTCGCTGCTCTTCAAAAGCCGCCAGTCTTTTTCCATTGCTAATTTTTATTTTCTTCTCTTTCCATGCGTAAAGCCGTTTCAAAGTTGATCGAAAATTATCCAGTTCCATTAACAATTTTGGTATATATAATGAATCAACTTGATGTGCAACCACGACACCTTGGAAAAAAAATAGTTGCACCATATATCCAATTCGTCCTCTCCAGTCCATGTATTCTATGGCAAGCTCTTTCTTGGTGATATTGTGGATGTTGTATGC